ATTATTATATTTTATTATTTAAATATAAATTTAAACAATAAATAATAATAATAATAATAATATAATTTATTTTTTATATATTTATATATAGAATATATGTAAAAATTATTATTTTTTCAAAATTTCATTATTTTTGCCAATACTTAATATAAGAATTGACAAAAAATATGACAGCTGCAAATGTGTTAATAAATGTACATAACGTACCCAAACTATCTCCATCGTCCCAATACAATTCTCCTCTAGCGTATCCCACTCTATTCAATGCTACTAATAATTCAAAACCATTCTTCCTACTATCCGTAGTCGTAGGACCTGGCTTTTGTGCTGGTAATATCGAACCAGCACGAATTAACAAAGGTATTGTATCGTATGGTGCATCGAATGTAAACTTCTTGCCAATGGAAAAGAACATTATTTTTGTATATAAATCATACCATTCTCCACGTGGTACATAAGCTGTTACAGTTGTTTTATTCTGTTAATTAAAACAAATAATAATAATGCAATTAATGTCAAATTTATTATCGATAATTCAAATTCTATTAATAATTCATAATAATATTCAAAAAAAAAAAAAAAATATCATGTGTGCAGATTACACATGTTTGAAGTGAAACCTTTTTAAAAACCAAGCTTCGAGAGAATGAGTCGAATGCAGAGTATCAGGAGTATGATAATTGTAGGATTTATTTACTATAAAAACAAAACAAAAATATCATGTGATTGATTTTCAAAAAAGTTCAATAAATCTACGAAAGAAATTCGTCAATGATCAATGAACATTGACTGAACTTTTCGTAGACTTGTGAAATTAACGAATTTCTTCGTAATTCATTGATTTTCATAAATTGAACAAATTTTGTTTTTTTTTCCTACATTCGTGCATTGACTGAACTTTTCTAAGATTCGTGCATTGATTAAATTTTTGTTATTACACTCGTGAATTGATTGAATTTTTCGTAAACTCGTAAATTGAAATAAGAAACAAATGCATACTGTCTTCTATCTCATTCTCTCGTCGTTTTATCGTTTCGTTTCATTTAAAAAATAAAAATATATTTAATGAATTTGCTTTACCTCTTCTAAAACTGGATTGATCATTAAATATCTTCCCCACATAAATTGTGTATCTATATCGTACGTAGCTTTATCGTTAATGAATCTAAAGAAAAGGAAAGAAGACAAAAAAAACAAAAATTATTGATTAATAAAAAAAAAGAAATTGTTCTTCTGTAAATATATCATTTATGTATATAAATAATAATGTATAAACGTACTCAAAAAATAATGGACGAACGACGGTTTCTCCATATTCATGTGCTCGATAAAATAATGTGTACAAATATGGTAACAACCAATAACGTATGGTAAATGCTCTTTTAGATGATTTCACAACTAAATTACCCATAGCTACTGGATCTTGTTCCTATAAGAAAAAAAAAGAAAAAGAAAGGCATATTAAATATAAATTATATAAATAAATTAAAAAATATTTTTCATGACTTTGTTTAACTTCTTACTATTGTACTATCCGAGTTATGATTTCTTGCGAAAGGATAAAATGCACCAAGTTGCATCCATCGATTACACAAAGCTGCAGTAGTATTTCCATTAAATCCACAAATGTCAGCACCCACCATTGGTATTTGGAATAGATTGAAATTAAGCATTTCAGGAATGCTCATTTTTAAATCATGCCTAATAAACAAAGTAGAGAGAACGATATTTATAAAAATTGAAAAAGAAACAAAAAAAAAAACTATACATATTGTATTTTCTTTTATCTTAATATTAATCTTATTTTACCATGTAGAGAAAACATCGCCAGACCAATGACCAGCATATTTTCCATGTCCAACCCATGTAGATCTTGAAATTATAAATGGCCTTTTCTTTCTGATATTAGTAAGAGCGCTGGAAAAATATTTATTTCAATATTAACCCTTTCACAATGGGCGTATTTTCCACGGTTCTATTTCTACTGTACGGGCTGCTAATAATACGTGCAACATCGAAATTGCAATTTATTTTCAAGTGATTTTTCATCAAAAGAAACAAAACACTAAAATTACACGTCCATAGTGGGATATTTGACGTGTCATAACTGCATATGTTCGTTGTATGTAAAACACGCGGTATTTTGTGTGGAGGGCCCACTATAATGGCCTGTAGTATCTCAATGGCATCTTATGGAGGGCCACTACAGTGGTCCGTAGTAGCAGAAGGGTTAAATAGATATATTTAATTAAAGTTACAATTAATTAATGATACTTACTAGTTTGTAGCTATTGCATGACTGGTACCATAAGTATTGTGAAGATTATAATGCGCTCCTAAATAATGTTTTGCATTCATGCATAATGTTTTTACTGCTAATGTACTTCCCATAATCATTGGTTTAAATTCAGGATTATCTAATTCGTTATTGACGCAACCATTTTTATTACCGTTGTAAAAGTTAGATGGTTCATTCATATCCTTGAAAAAAAAAAAAAAATACCAAAAATATTATAATGCAAAAAAAATATATCAAACTAAATATAATGTTGGATGACGTGTGAACACATACGAACAATATAAAATCATTGTAAAATAATAAATATTAAATAATACATACGATCCATGCACCATCGTATTTGAATTTATTATGCATATCTTGCATCATATTCAAATAATAATCTTTCGCTTTTGGATGAGTGAAATCAGGCCACACAGTTAACCCATTACTCCAAACTTTTCCTTTAAATGGTTCGTTGGTTATCGCATCTTTTATAAATATTCCTTCTTTTACACCTTCATCGTATGGACGATAAGATCCACTTGCTTCTGACGCAGAAATACCAGCATCGATCAATGGAATATAATGCATTCCCAACTATAATACATAAAATAAGAATTATATAAAATGTACGTGATGAATTTACAATTGTAAATGAGATTATTATTAAATTTCACATACTTTATGTAATTCGTCAATGAATTCTGGTAAATCTTTAAACGTTTTATTATCATACGTAAAATCTTTATTTTTATCCATGTAATCTAAATCGTTCCATTGAGTATCCTAAAAAATAATTATACAAATTAATATTAAATTTAACCTTGTGTTTATTTGTATAAAAGAATATTTTATAATTATGTGTATTTATTAACTATTATACTTACAAATGGTATTCCAGCTGTTCTGGTTCTGTTCCATACTTCTTTAGTTTTTTCTAAGTTTCCATATCCATATCTGAAAAAAAAAAGAATAAAAAATATAAAGAAAATAAATATTTATTGAAATCACTAGAATATATATTTACCGAGATAAATGAAAACCTAAGGACCAATATGGCGGTAGAAAAGGTTTACCAACAAGTGTGGAATATTGTTCAATCACATCCTGAGGAGTTGGACCCAATAAAAAGTACATATCAAAAATACCACCTATACTTCTGTAAGTTATTGCAGGAGTGGGTTGTAACATTATTTCTACAAAGATTAAATTGCATATGATCAAATTTAATACAAAAAAAAAAATATATATATATAAATACATACCCATAGGATTGCTGTTTAAAAATAATACACCATGGCAATATCCAGATTCTTCGATCATCAAATAAAATGGATGAGTACCATATAAATTCGCCTATAATCAAAAATTATACGTTTATTGAACTTATTCACTTGAAATGAATAATAATAAAAAATATAAAAAATGTACATATTCCACTGGTGGTTGATCCATGTTGAACATAGCATATCGTTTCCATTCGTTATTAATTTTAAAATTTGATCTATGCTCACCAAGACCATAAATATATTGGGAAGATAATATACCACTTATTTGTAAGAATTGATCGGCAAATATGAAACCACCAAGACCAATAGAGTCAAATCTACATTACGCGAATGTAACAACACATTTGCATTAATGTTAAGAATTATTTAAATATTAACACAAAATATTTTATACTCACAATATTGTGTTGTCGTCAGATCTCATGACTTTAAATCCAATTTTTTCATCGTCAGTGATAAATTTATAAAGTGTATCTACATTTAGACGATCTGAAGGTGAACGATTAGTTGTTACTGGCCATGGTGGTTCATATCTTTGATTTACAGGATCAAAGATCTAAAATAATATAAAATTAGAAATAAATTAAATCGACAAATAATTTCATTACAGAATAGAATTCATTTTATATATATATATATATATATATATATATACCTTAACGCGTAATATTGTATTGTCAATTGTTGTCGTTTCCATTTTGATAAGAGGTATGTTTTTCTTATAAATAGATTTGTTTTTTAATTGAAGGAATCCGGAAAAATTGTTGCCTTCTTGACTGTAGTTTTCATATTTATAAAGACTCCAATTATCAGGATAATAACAATAAGGAATATTAAGGAATTTATTATCCTCATCCACCGGACTCCAACAACAACCTCTTCTTGTACATTCTGATTCGTTAGCACCAAATTCCGGAAGACAATCAAACCGTAATGATACAGGAATTTGTTTACACTAAAATAAGGACACATTTAATTAGTACTTACGTATTAACGCCACCGCAACAAAAATTCCGTTAATGCGTCAATAAAGAGCAATCTTGTTGTTCGCATACAACAACCTTGTTGTTTGCACACAGCAACCATTGGGGTTGCGCCAGGGTAAAGACTATTTTGAATCTATGTTAAATTCTATATCAGCCCGATTATTTTCCACCAAAATCCGATTGACTACTTTTTATAAATAAATTGTTTTGAATTTTCAAAGTGTTTTGATTTTAATTAAATCAAGTATTTTTTTACCCATGATTTGTCGCAACAATTTAAGGGGTAGATTGGCGCATTAGTGGAATTTTTCCTACGGTGTCCGTTAATACCATTTAATTGTAGGTAAGTACCATTTAATTTAATAATAAAAAAATATTGAATTATTATAATATATTGCAATATATTATCAAACATTACCTGTTCAACAATACCATCATCATCTTCAACGATAATAAAGCTATAAACGTACTCTGCTTTTTCAATAACATTATCTGTGTCTTTATTAGGGTTGAATTTCCAATTTTCAACAATCTTCATAACATTGTTCATATATTCAGATTTTTTGACATTGCATATAAGATAAGGTGAATGCAATATAGCAAGTGCTATAACAGCAGTTATAAAAATTGCAATGAGCACCAAAGCGAAATAAGATTTAGCATTTTTAGCATGAGAATTGGACTTGTCGTCTGCATATGCACTATTTACAATTTCCTGTTCTCTGTTGATTGTTTTTGTTATATCCAATGTGAATAATTTGGAAGATTCATCCGATTTATCATCTGACTCATTTATTATATGTTCTAATGAACTTGTACCTTTTTTGGATTCATTGTTACCCTTGATAATCATTTTGGGGCAACAATATTTGTTAATCTATAATTAGAAATATATATAAAGTTTAATTTTAATTATTATATATAATATTATATATATATACATATTAGTATATTAATATATTATTATATTATATATATAATATAATATTATGTATGTATATTAGTATATTAATATATTATATATATGTATAATATATTATTATATTATATATATAATATAATTTGGTAATAATTATTATTATTATATTGAGATCTTATATAAATATAAGAAAAAAAAATTACACAAAATATAACTGTTCATCAGGGTGATTCATAAATTGATTGACTAAATTAACATCAAAAATATATACAAAGGAAAATAAATTATTGTAATTTTAAAATTCTTAGTATTCTTTACAATTTTCCTTTATACATATATATATATATATATATTTTTAATTATATTCATAAAAGATATTTTTACTATCTCACTGACGTTCATGGATTTCACAAATATGAGAAATTCTTTAAGAAAAATATTTTTAAACAATTGTCATTCACAATAAATTTCCATTTAATTTATGTATAACCTCTAAATATAAATCACATTTATACATTCAATCTAATTGAAATTATTTAAACGTTTTAAATAACAAATTAATTTGAATAATCTCTATTTTTCTATTTCAAAATAATAATAATAATAAAAAAAAATAATATAAAATACAATGACATTTGTAATTAGATTAACATTTGGATTGAATATCTTACCAGTATTTGAAATCAAAACAAATCTCTTTCGGGTAATTGTTCACTTTAATTTTAAAATGAAATATTCTTTATTAGGTAGTTAACACTGTGAATGCGTCGTTCATACTGGCAAATGAAAGATTGCGAGTTATCTTCTAGTATATATATATATATATATATATTTAGTATCATTTGTGTCTCATTCTCTGTATCAGTAACAATGTATATAGTATATACACACATATATTGTATCTTTACTTGTGTGTGCGTGGATTCAGGAAAAACCTCTTCTTACATACATACATACATATATATATANTTATTTTTTTTTTATATTCTTATTCTTCTTTTCGTTTTTTACTAGTCGGTGCGAATACGAATGTGGGGTCAAAAGAGCATCGGATGTATAACGAGGTCAAAGTTTACAGCGTGATCGATGAGTCTGTGTTAAAAAAGAAAAAAAAAAGAAAAGAAGAAAAAGAAAAGTTCAACGCATCGATCGGAAACACTTTGCGGTGATATAATATTTTTTCTTTTTTTTTTTTGTTGTTTTATTATATTATTTATAAATATTATGAAAGAGAAAGAGAAAGAGAAAAAGAACATAAATTACTTTCGAATGAAACACGTTGCTCTTATTTCCTATACACGATGTAGATATCTATATAATAATAATAATAATAATAATAATAATAACAATAATAATAATAATAGTAATATAAAATGATTATTATTTTATTTTAATTATTTATTAGAATTATATTGTTAATGTGTTTATATAATTTACAGTGCCAAATAATTTAAAGTATCAAAGAAAAGAAAATATATATCATTTCAATTGCAACACGCTACTACTCTCTTATATTTCTGTATATTAGATATCTATGTAATTATTATTATTATTATTATTATTATTAATGTTAATGTTTAAATAATTTACAGTGCCAAAAAAATAAAACTAATTAAATATGACCACCAACGCGCGTTACCTTTTATGTTTCTAAATATATTATTATTATTATTATTATTATTATTATTACTAACTATTATTATTATTATTATATTATTAACTATTATTATTAGATTGTTAATATTATTATTAAATTTTGCACATTAAGCTATATTTAATTGTCAAAGACGAAGTTGATGAAAATCTGATATATGAAAATGTGTTTTTTTTTTTATGTTTTTTCTCTCAGAGAATTATTATTAAGAATAATAATAATTATTATTATTATTATAAATTGTTTGCCATATATATTAAAATATATATATATATATATTAATTTTGTCCCCTTCTTTATTGGTGCCATAAACTTTAAGTCGTTTATATATATATATATATATATATATACACACAATATAACGTAAAATATGTAATAAGAGAAGAGTGGAAGGAAATTATTTGAATAAAAATGTTTCATCTTTAAAACACCAGTCTTCTTGTTTTTTCTTTTTTCCATTTGATTAATTATTTCTTATTTTATATTTTTTTTTTGTCTTTTTTTTTTTTATTTCTTATAATTCTTCACACGCATATATATAATATATGTGCTTATAATTTTTCACTTAATATATATATACAAAAGATTTTTTTTTTAATTGTTTACAAAATAATAAATTAATTATAAAATTTTTATATAAATTTCACTTTCAAATTTTTGGTTTCTCTTTTTTATTTTAATAATAATTTATCGTAACTTCGTATTATATATTTATATTTATTTAATAATATATATATTTATATATATAATTAAATTTATTTAATAATATATATTTTATGTTGTCAAAAAACACTATTGTAGTGTATTAAAAAATATACTTTTCATTTTAAAAAAATAATTTCTCTTATTTGTTCTTATTTTGTTGTCTTTTGCTTGATCACTATATAACGTGTATGTATGTATATATATGTGTCCATAATTATGAAAGTAGTCTAAGTCAAAATTAATAAAAAAATGAGTTTATCAGTTATTACGCACTACATTATTAAAAAATAAATAAATACAATGTTATTTGAAAACGATATTGTCAAAAATGAATGAATCGTTAGATAATGTTTGTTATTTCAATATTATATAGAATTCGTATAGTGTTCAAATATTAATCTTGAAATATTTCGAAACAAGAGTTACATGACTTAGACCCACTTTCATAATTATGGGCACATATATATATATATATATATGTACACGT